GCATGTTTTTTTTACGAGTGCAACATTATAACATGATATAAAACTCAAAAAAGTTGATTTTACATGATATTGCCCCTTTAAAATATCTGTCATTTAAGTACATTTTCAAAAATTTACTTTTGATTCGTAAGTAATAAAAGTAAAAGTGAGCGGATAGAATTTCTAAAATGGCATTTTTTTGGGAGGCGACCTCCCGCCAAAGACCATAATGACTAAAATGTTGTATTAAAATGTTTGAGTTGAAAAATGTAGGTCTGTTGGAATCTGTTTCAGTCACGTAAATGAACTGTATCCTCGAGGTGCCATATATCTGGATAGATTTTTTTTCTTTTTTATGGTTTAACAACAAGCCAGAATGAAAATGAGCCAACATGAAGTAGGAGTAACAAAGCTGTGGAGTAGAAAGAACACATAGTTGTGTGAAAATGTTAGGAGTAAAAACATTTCTTAAAAAATAATAATATAGTAATGARATAATAATTTGCCTCCAGCAAAATATGGATGACCAAAATTTCTCCTTAAGTAAAGTAACAAAGTATTTGTACTTTGTTGACACACTCTGGTTGTCGTAACTTGATYTGACTTCCTGCAAGAAAACTGCTTGTAGTCGTTTCTGCACCTACTTGAATTCCTTTCAGTAAACCATTACCTCCTCCTTAAAACCATCTAGTTGTTTTATTATTAGCAAAGTTTTCAGACACAGCATAACACAAAGCTGGACACTCATACAGCACAAGATTAAAGTTAATTGTCAGGGTGCTGACTTTGCAACATGCTCACAGCACTCCTAAAGCTGATAATGTAAGCGTATTCAAATATTCGAACTGTTCAAACACACACAGTCAACCTATTTATTTAGCCAATTCCTTGTTCCTCTTGATGATCTTCTTTCCTTTGTTGTCAGGATCATCTTTTACTTCCTGCCACCAACCACAACAAAGGAAGCCGACCCAAGATGTCTGTCGTGTTGCCAGCCATGAACATTAACGGTAAGTGCTGCAGCACAGACTCAGCAGATGAAGAGACAGTGGAAGAGATGAAAGGGAAACACTTCTCTCCATAAGAATGCTTTACAGGTCACGTTAAACATGCTTAAGGATAAACAAAACAAATAAAAGTATTCAAACACTTGTTTTTTAAGGTTATTTAGCTCTTATTTATCCTGTTTTATTTTTCCAAATCTACCTCAGTGGAACGATATGTTAATTGTTAATTTGAAATGTGTTTCCCTTTCTGCATTTCACACTTTAGTTCAAATAGTTAGACAAAGCCACACATTAATATTTAATCAGCAGGTTTGTAAAAACATTTGACCTGTTTTAAAATAAAAAAAAAATACTGTTTTCTGACATCTGGTGCCATGATCTTTTCTCCCTTCCTCAAGAGCTGTTTACATTGTCTGTATCTCAGCTTTTGATTGAGGAGTATCCAAAACATGTCCCAAAGCTTTTTTTCAGCATTTTATCTCCATTTTGTTTTTCATTTCCAGTATTTTACAACAAAATATGTAGACAAAAAAATAAGAATATCTGTACATTTCCTCTGAAACTGAAGGTTTCTGAATTCAGGAAAAATACTAACATTTCCAGAGGTCATTCTCGTGTAAACAGGGCCTATATTTGGTTCCATTCCTCCACATTAAGCAGAGACGCTACTTATCTGCCTGATATGCTCTTTCTTGAAGAGTGCACTTGCTGTCTGCAGCTTGTCTCAGTGGGTGATGATCCAAGTGAACACAGTTCTCATCAAGGGGTGGGGGAGGGGTGCTTTCACCAGCCCATATGAGAAGCAATCACCCATTTATTTGGCTGCCTGCCCTCAAACAAAAACCAGCAAGGAACATTTTGACACTGCTGTACAAGAGTTACGCCTAAACGTTTGATGAGTAAAAGCCTTGGATTTTCTTTCCTGAACATTTGCTGCCAAATTGTCTGTTTTATGAATCACAAAAGGACAAATGTTTGTAATTTCCATTAGCTCATTTAATGTTTTTTTTCTATGACCCTTAGATGTGCTATTACGCCAAAGTCGCGTCATTTAAGGTGTCAGTAGAAAAAGGATCATCTGTAATCAACTTTGACAAGCAGAGGTTCTTTTGGTTTGACTAAATCGAAAGAAACTTGCTTAACGAGATTGTGTTTTTGAGGTCTATGAGTTGCTATAAACAGGGCCAGCCCTAACCAATGTGGTGCCCCATTTGTGCAGTTTTCTAAATCTCACTGCCAATTTAAATACGTTCACATCACATATCAAATTTTGTCTGATTGATTTGATTTGATTTGAT